TCTCCAAGAAGCGTCCTGCATCCCCAGACATCCCGTCGTCGCAGCCAAAGACTAAGAGGGCTTCTACATCATCTCAACGCAGACTCCGTACCCCAGGGCAGCGTCTACCTCCAAGGGAAATCGACGAAGTCTACTACAGAACCTTCAGCCGAGATTGTTCCCGTCGCAGAACTGGGCCTGTATGATGATCAGCCGATCATCATACCTGATCTACGCCACAAGAAACGACCGGTGTCGGCAAACAGTGACGTCAGCGCAGATCTACACGCAGCCTGATGTACCAATGCTGATGTCTGACGATCTTCCTGAGGGTCCCGTCGCTACCAACGCAGAGAGGGCACCAACTACATCTTCACAGACCGTCCCAGACGACCTGGTTCTTCAGATTATGAAGACGATGGAAGACCGCTACGGACTGGAGAGACAACCAGCCCAGAGCCTGAGCCTTTGCGTGAGGCTCCAACGTGGACATCACCCCAGAGGGACCCCTGTCAACGTAGCGGCTGCCACCAAGTCATCGCTGGGGAAGCCACCTGCGCGAAGGACGTCACAGCCCACCTCTGCAAAGGACATCTAGATTGTCACCTACCTCGGACTCCGATGATCAACGCTCACGAAGAGGTTCGCGAAGGAAGATCCTCTCATCCCCGGACTCTGACTCGGACCCTCAGCCTTCGCGAAGGTCAAGTCGTCACTCCCCAGGACCGGACTCAGATGAAGCTTCGCGAAGGGCACCAGTTACAGGCTCCAAGTGATCTTCGTCTAGAAGGTCATCGAGGGATTCCCCAGAGCTTACCACAGTTCAACGCCAAAAAGTTCTCAACCCATAATATGGACCCATTTTTCAAGGCACAAGAAATCGACGATAACTTCAAAGTAATCAACGATGCAAAGAATAAGACCTGCACAAGATAGACGACCGCAAGCTGGTTCAGATCGAAACCATGACAAGGAGAATGTTCTTCGGCCTTAACAGATCAAGAACGATTAATGAGACTCTCATCACCAGATTTCAAAATTCTACATCAGAAGATGACAGAATGATATACTCGGCCCTCCTTATGCAGAAGATGGACCAGCCGTTTCTAACGGATCATCTTACATCAGTCTCCGCAGCGCTAACTCTGGCTCGTCGTCAAGGTCTCCTCGCTTCCTGTAGTTGGGGTGAACAGTTTACGTCTCCACTCTACACAGCCCCGTGGTCTACGCCATCTATCTTCGATGGAGGAATAGATAAAGTCTCTAAAGAAGTCACCAAGGATTCAAGGGAAGTCCTTATGATAAAGTCGATGGACACGCTAGCTAGCGTCATCAGGCAGACATCACAGAGATATTCAGGAAGATCAAAATTTACCGGCTTACAGAAAGCACGGGACAGGAAGATGGTCAGTTCAAGAGGAAAAAGATTCTTTTCGTCGCCCATATGGCAACTACAGAGGAGGATCTGGAAGAGGCAGGGCACCCAGAGGTTCCCGCAACTATAAACGATGAAAGACGGGATCGGAACGACGGGAGTCTTCCACCCCCAGCCATTCCAGTACAACCATCACAAGTGGGTGGACGCCTTCAACTGCACTGGGAGAACTGGGGAATTGTACAAGACCCATATGTCTCCAACATACTTCAACACGGATATCGAATCCAACTACAGGCCACGCCTCCGCTTACAGTCAACCCTCACAAGTTCGACTTCCAGGCGCAACAACTACCAAAGTTAAGAGAGGCTGTTACATCTCTCCTAACCAAGCAGGCCATAGAAGTACTGGATCAAGTAAACATCGAACCAGGCTTCTACTCCCCAGTTTTCCTAGTGCCCAAGAAAAACTCCAAGGAAAAGTTCAGACTCATTTACAACAGGAGCACGTTCAACAGAGATAATCTACGCAAACCGCCAACGTTTCGCATGATACATCTACCTCAACTACGGCACCTAATTCGTCCCATGGACTACATGGCCAGTATAGATCTGCAGGATGCTTATCTACATATCCTGATACATCCCGAATCCAGGAAATACCTACGGTTTACACTAGAAGGGCTGCATTATCAATGGAGAGTACTCCCATTTGGAATATCATCGGCCCCCTGGTTATTCACAAGAGTAACGAAACCTATCGTCACTTACCTACATCGTCTAGGGCTACGCAGTGCGTTCTACCTCGACGACGGGATTCAAGTAGATCAAGATCCACAGCGTCTCAAACTACAGTTAAACTTCATCATCAAGCTACTAACACAGCTAGGATGGTTAGTAAATCTACTCAAGTCGGACCTAGAACCTACGCAAGATCTGCAATTTCTAGGCATTCGATTTATCACGACACAGAACCGTATCGTCGTACCAGAGGACCGATGGCTCAAGATCCAACAGACCATCCCACAAGCCTTACTCTCTCCGCTACCACTACGACAATGGCAGAGTCTGTTGGGTCTCCTCACGTCAGCCCAAGACATGACAGTCAGAGGCAGACTACAGTTACGTCCGTTACAGGTCCTCATCAACGCTCATCTCGACGACCTACAACCATTCAGTCTACCGAAACACATCAGACCTCATCTACTATGGTGGACCAGGAGGTCGAATGTCTGCGAAGGCATCTATTTAACAGAGCCGGAATTCAAAACCCATCTCTATGTAGACGCGTCGCTCCAAGGTTGGGGAGCTCATCTCGCCAACCGGACGGCATCAGGGTTATGGAACCAGCAAGAGAGCAAGCTGCACATAAACATGCTAGAAATGAAAGCAGTAATCAACGCCCTACTACATTGGAGCACCATTCTACAGAATGCGCATCTGATGATTCACACCGACAACTCAACAGTGGCGTTTTATGTAAACAAACAAGGCTCAACGAGATCATTGAACCTATTGACTCTATGCTTTCAACTGTTCGATCTAATCGACGATCTCAACATACATGTCAGAGCATGCCACATTCCGGGAGCCAAGAATGTACTAGCAGACGCACTCTCTCGGCCACATCTACCGTCACCGACAGAATGGATGCTCCATACAGAAATCTTTGCACAGATTATCAAGGAAATAGGAGCTCCGCTAGTAGACCTATTCGCCACTCGCTTCAACAATCAGCTAACAACATTCGTATCACCAGTCCCGGATCCACAAGCGTGGGCAACGGACGCACTAAGCATATCCTGGGAAGGCCTCAACGCGTACGCGTTTCCGCCGCCAGCGCTAATTCCACAAGTGTTACAGAAAATCAGACAAACGCAGAGCCTCCAACTGATTTTGGTCGCGCCCTACTGGCCAGCGAGAACGTGGTTTCCCATTCTAATTCAAGAAATCGGACAACCAACACTAGAGCTACCAAAGCGCTCGAATCTACTAATACATCCTCACACCAAACAAGTGCACGGAAACCCAGAAGCATTCCAACTTCACGTATGGACTGTATTAAAGTGTGTCTAAACAAGAGAGGTTATTCAGCCAGAGCGGCGAAAGCAGTCACGCTTGCTTTACGCAATTCTACGCGCAACTTGTATGACGACAAGTGGCACAGTTTTGCTAAAAGGGATTCTGCTAAAAGGGATTTACAGCGAGAAATGCTACACATCCAAAAGTGGCTGACTATCTGTGTTACCTACGACAAACTAAACGTCTCGACATTGTCAACATATCTCGCAGCTCTAAGTTCTGTGATAACTATGAGAACGGGTGTCAAGTTAACCAAAACGCCAGAGTTACTGGCCTTACTACGTTCATTCCGATTGGAGGATCAGAAACAGAGATTTCGCGCTCCAGCATGGGATCTAAATATAGTGCTCCAACACCTCACAAGTGAGGCCTATGAACCACTGGAATCAACAACCTTTGAATTTCTGTCACAGAAAACATTGTTCCTGTTATCCTTAGCAACGGCAGCCAGGATGTCAGAAATTCACGCACTAGATTATAAGAGAATACGTTTTGACGACAATCAAAACATAGTGCATATGGGACTGCGATGGGACTTTATAGCCAAGAATCAATTGCCAGGTCAACCATACAGATTATTCCATGTCCCTGCACTCTCCTCAATTCTCGGGGGGCGGTGGGGTAGTCTAGTGGTTAAAGCGTTGGCTTGTCGCGCCGAAGACCCGGGTTCGAATCCCCACATGGGTACAATGAGTGAAGCCCATTTCTGGTGTCCCCCGCCGTGATATTGCTGGAATATTGCTAAAAGCGGCGTAAAACCAAACTCACTCAGTCAGTCAGTCCTCAATTCTCGGACCTCAAGATACGCTTGACCTATCTCTATGTCCAGTCAGAGCACTCAAAATCTATCTACAACGATCCAAAACGAGGCGACGACAACTCAAGCGGTTATTCATCCCTCTATCGACAGCGACTAAGTCCGAAGTCTCTCGTACCACCATATCGATATGGATCAGAACTGTCATACTTCGTGCCTACAAGGCTGCAGGACTCGACCCTCCAAGAGCATCTAATCCCCATGAAATCAGAGCACTGGCTTCCACACTCGCTCTACACGGAAATTGCTCGTTGAATACCATTATGGAGGGCTGCTTTTGGAAATCCGACATGGTGTTTGCTAACCACTATCTGAGAGATATCACCACCGAGGACGTCTCAGGTATTCACCATTTCGGTCCCATGGTCCTCGCACAGCAGTTGACAGTCCCTCGTAGATGATGAGACATAGTCTCACGAGATTATTATGTATATATCATACCAGTATCATCTAGCTTATAACTCTACGGAGTTTTGTGCTAATTATATACATATCTTAAGTCTACATTAGTCTTAAGCCCAGTACTGATGTGTACATTGGGTCGCTTCTCCACTTTGGAGTCGCTTTTTATACCATTATTACTATTATTATAGTATCTAAATATTGTAGTACCCCCATCTATGGCAGCTGGTAGAACTTATGTTTTATAGTAGCAGGAATTATCCTAATTCAGTGCCATTATGAAGTTCCCGTAGGGGGTTATTACATATATATTTAAATCACTAATTATTTAAGTCCAAAGTATTCTGTTTTCCCACCTCCGTTTCCGTAGGATTTTACAAGCAAAAGAGCATGAGTCAGGATAAGGAAAAATATGTAATTTTCTGAATAAAATTGATATTTTATACTTATCCTGGCTCATGAGGTAAGCCCTCCCATCCTCCCCACATAACACTTTGGATTTCCCAGAAGATTCAAGTGTTGGGCTCGCTAAAACAGGAGAGAGTGAAGCATGAGGGAAGAGGTGGCGCCTCCTTTCCCGCGCATTTGGAAGAGGGAGGCAACTCTTGGTGAGTACCAATTAGTGATTTTACATTGAAGGAGCTTCAATTAGGGAGATACAAGTGTTCCACTATGTTCGCAAGAAGAAGAAGACAAGCAAAAGAGCATGAGTCAGGATAAGTATAAAATATCAATTTTATTCAGAAAATGACATAATTTTTAGAGGTTAAGTATTTGATACATTAAACCTGCACATCTGCACCATGTAAAACCCAGGCCCCTCTGTATGGAGGTTTCAGTAAAGTGGAGTAATGGTTCAAACTGGAGGAAAGAGCATCTCAACAACTTCCAACATGCTACAGGTCTGTGATAACAGTGTAATCACTCTACACCATGGCGTGTTGAGTAACGCACCTGCAGCAAGGACAGCTGCAGCAAGGGTTTCTAAGATACATACCTTCCTGTTTGTAGATTTTACCCGAGAATACCCTGATGGCATATGACTTTGCTCTACCAGGATGGCGTGTACGGCGTGTTGAGTAACGCAGCTGCAGCAAGTTTTCTAAGATACATACCTTTCCTGTTTGTAGATTTTACCAGAGAATACCCTGATGGCATATGACTTTGCCTACCAGGATGGGTGTACGGCGTGCAGCAAGGGAGAGTGACGTGGCAGCTCAGGTGTGAGTGTAAGAAACATCCTCCGTCCGGAAACTGTTTTTCCCTACCAGGAAACAGTTCCTCACTATGTCTTTAAGAAGAGACTATGTTCCTTGACTTTTGTTTGAATCGTCCCTCACAATGTCCGTTACTGATGCTAGGCATGTGAGAATGGGGAGTCCCAGGTTTTGCTCAGGCCATGTGATGTACAGGGCTGGATTCTTCTTCAAAATATGACTTTGTCGTTCATTGTGGAGATGCTACAGCTTGTTCAGCTTCACCTGAGCTACTCTACATATGCATGACCCTGGATGTCAAATGGCACAATAGGGCGGTCGAGTTAACTTCATTAAATAGGATAGCAGAGAATGTTATTAATGTTGCATTCATACATGGATTCGTTACAGTCCGAATCGGAAACATCAAACGGAAGCTTCTCTTTTAAAGAAAGTTAGGACAAAGGTCCACCTGTCTCGACTATTCGGAAATGTTGACAAACAACTGACAATGGTGCACCCCTTCACAATAATAGACCCAACCAGTTGTGACACGGTCTGTAGTCAGACAGATTACACAGAGTTACCTCCCTTCCCTTGTAGGGAATCTCTAGTCAACGAAGGTTGACTAGTTGTTCTTGTCTGGTGCTAAATTTTTAATGAGTTGAATTACATCTGGTTATCTCAGTTATTACTCTATTCAAATCGGCCTAATTATGTATGTTTATGTATGGCGGTACGTAGCATTGGATTGTGAACATATAGGCATTTAGTTAAAACATAAAGACATTGTTGTTTTAATTTTCAATTGTAATCTGTCAATGACGTAAGTTTACCAAAACACGCAATTCATTAGTATTCGCACACTTGTGTAAGTTGTGGGTTGTGTTGCTCCTCATCTTGTAGACTAAAGCAGACACAGCGGGTATGTGTGCTGGAAGTGTCGGCTGGTTCTACCTGTGTATGAAGACTGGCTTGTGTGTGCGTGTATATATAGAATGTTGGGTTTTGTATAGTTACCTCTAGTGTATTACATTTTGGAAGTAGACATCAGATCTACCTGTGTTCAAGAAGACTGGTTGTGCTGGGTGTAGAATCTGCCTTTACAGTTACCTCTAGTGTATTACAAGCTGGAGGTGTTATCAGTTCAACCTGCATGTGTATGAAGATTGTGTTGTGCTGGGTGTAGAATCTGCCTTTACAGTTACCTCTAGTGTATTACAAGACATTGAGTTTTGTCTGTGACAGCTCTACCAGTTGTATGAAGACTGGTTGTGTAAGAAGAACGCTGGTGGAAATAGTAGAATATGCCTTATAGTTACCTCTAGTGTATTACGAAAGTTCAACAGGAAGTGTCATCAGTTGCTCTGGCACCTGTGTATGAAGACTGGTTGTGAAAAGTCTGGGAAAACAGTGTAGAATCTGCCTTTTTACAGTTACCTCTAGTGTATTACAAGCTGAAAGTGTCATCAGTCTCTACCTGTGTATGAAGACTGGTTGTGCTGGGTGTAGAATCTGCCTTACAGTTACCGCAAGTAGGGATTCATTGTTAGAATTGGCCAATCCATGCTGCTTTTGAAGAGACGCCCAAAACAATCAGCCTCAGTGTCATTATACTGTGATGTGTAGCTGCTCACAATATCGATCTCTGGATCTGGTACAGATTTGATGAGACTCAGACCACTGCACTAAAGCTGGAATATTGCTGTAACTTGTGTTGAACAACAAACAAACACACAATCACTGATGTCTTCTGTCTGTTTCAGTTTGGACTGTGTGCCCTTCATCCTCCATGACAAGAGTTTGAGAGGACAACAAATATTAAAGAAGTTTTCCCAGACCGGGTAAATGATGATCCGGCCGCTCTTTCAACATGTCAGATCTGAAAAGGCTGGATGCTGGCTCGTGGTTTTACAAGTGAGTATTTGCTGAACACTGAAAGCCACCTTCACTGTGTGACTTTGCTGTGAGGTGTGGTTACTCAACTGAAAATACCGGTGAAGATCTGGTTAGAATTGGTCTTCAGCAACCCATGCTTGTCGTGAAAAGACGCACTCATTGTTGGGATCTGGTGGTCAGACTTCGCTGACTTGGTTGGACACATGTCATCCCTCCCAATTGTGTCAATCAATGCTCATTCTGTTGATCACTGGACTGTCTGATCCAGACTCAATTATTTACAGACTTCTGCTACATAGCTGGAATATTGCTGTGTGCAACATTATATATCAAGTCGACCAACTCAACTGAATTACCTCCCTTCTTGTAATTTATGTAAAGATTGCAAATATGGACATAGTCCATGCCACCACTTCTCTGGATAAACAGTTTGGTGATTAAGAAGATTATGTACATGGTGAAATATCGAGATTCATTAAGAGTTGACAAAACTTTTGAAAATGGTCAGATTAATTAGTTGATAATTGGCCATTACGGAACTGTTTTGTTAAATACAGAGATACTGAAAGTCAAGCCTGTCTCCAGCAAGTTCATGCTTATGTATAACACACTGACACTCTGTGGACATTGTTATCTCGTAAAATCATTCAGATTATGACACTTGACAGTCTCCAGCAACCTCGTCAAAATGAACACCACCAAGCCAACAAATGTTTAGGTATTTATCGTCAACAAAGGCAGGTTTACAGATTAACGAGGTTAAGACAACTGAGGTTTCATTCTGTGCATGGAAACTGTTGAGCATGTGAATTAAGCACTGACAACAATTTTTACCTTTCTTCAGAATGACCCTTTCTGGACATCCGGGGACTTGACCGATGCTCAGCGGAGGCATGTAGCCAATCAGACGCTGCCTACACTGGAGGAGCTTTGCACGATTGGGCAGGAACTACAGCGACAGCGTGCTGATGTTCGACCTGTTGGCCGGGCCACATTCGCAGATCCCTGTTACAACCTGAGTGTCAACTACACCATACATGCCCTCACTCAGGCGGGATACCCGTTACAAAACGTAAGGATGGCAGTGTGTGGGTGAGTGAGTGAGAGACACACCCAAGTGACAGTTCAAGCAATATCAAATATTGAGCTTGAAAAAAGTGTGTGATTCTGTTCATAAGAGCTATGGTTTTGAAACTGTGACTGAAAAATATGGCATACCAGTCATCCCCACCTCTTTGACAACTTCCCCCAACGCACAGGAGCACAATGACACCAAAGATACCACCAGACAACTCCAGCACCCCAAACACACCACCAGACAACTCCAGCACCCCAAACACACCACCAGACAACTCCAGCACCCCAAACACACCACCAGACAACTCCAGCACCCCAAACACACCACCAGACAATTCCAGCACCCCAAACACACCACCAGACAACTCCAGCACCCTAAACACACCACCAGACAACTCCAGCACCCCAAACACACCACCAGACAACTCCAGCACCCCAAACACACCACCCAGACAACTCCAGCACCCCCAAACACACCACCAGACAACTCCAGCACACCAAACACACCACCAGACAACTCCAGCACACCAAACACACCACCAGACAACTCCAGCACCCCAAACACACCCACCAGACAACTCCAGCACACCAAACACACCACCAGACAACTCCAGCACCCCAAACACACCACCAGACAACTCCAGCACCCCAAACACACCACCAGACAACTCCAGCACACCAAACACACCACCAGACAACTCCAGCACCCCAAACACACACGCAGACAACTCCAGCACCCCAAACACACCACCAGACAACTCCAGCACACCAAACACACCACCAGACAACTCCAGCACCCCAAACACACCACCAGACAACTCCAGCACCCCAAACACACCACCAGACAACTCCAGCACCCCAAACACACCACCAGACAACTCCAGCACCCCAAAACACACCACCAGACAACTCCAGCACCCCCAAACACACTCCAGGCAACTCCAGCCTCTGAACACACAGACAACTCAGCACCCCAAACACACCACTCAGACAACTCCAGTCATCCCAGACAACGCCCTCTGACACTGCACCAGTCACTCCAGCACCAGACAACACCCCAACACCTCTCTGACACTGCAGTCACCCCAAAACATCCTCTGACACTGCAGTCACCCCAAACACCCTCTGACACTGCAGTCTAAACACCCTCTGACACTGCAGTCACCCCAAACACCTCCTCTGACACTGCAGTCACCCCAAACACCCTCTGACACTGCAGTCACCCCAAACACCCTCTGACACTGCACACTGCTCACCCCAAACACCCTCTGACACTGCAGTCACCCCAAACACCCTCTGACACTGCAGTCACCCCAAACACCCTCTGACACTGCAGTCACCCTAAACACCCCCTCTGACACTGCAGTCACCCCAAACACCCCCTCTGACACTGCAGTCGCCCCAAACACCCTCTGACACTGCAGTCACCCCAAACACCCTCTGACACTGCAGTCGCCCCAAACACCCTCTGACACTGCAGTCACCCCAAACACCCTCTGACACTGCAGTCACCCCAAACACCCTCTGACACTGCAGTCACCCCAAACACCCTCTGACACTGCAGTCACCCCAAACACCCTCTGACACTGCAGTCACCCCAAACACCCTCTGACACTGCAGTCACCCCAAACACCCTCTGACACTGCAGTCACCCTAAACACCCTAAACACCCTCTGACACTGCAGTCACCCTAAACACCCTCTGACACTGCAGTCACCCCAAACACCCTCTGACAATGCAGTCACCCCAAACACCCTCTGACACTGCAGTCACCCCAAACACCCTCTGACACTGCAGTCACCCCAAACACCCTCTGACACTGCAGTCACCCCAAACACCCTCTGACACTGCAGTCACCCCAAACACCCTCTGACACTGCAGTCACCCCAAACACCCTCTGACACTGCAGTCACCCCAAACACCCTCTGACAATGCAGTCAATTCAATAGTGTTTTATTCAGCAAGAGACGTAGGCCATCGGCCCATGACACAGCAGTTGTACAGCAGCCACAATACATATTGCCTACATTAACAGATTTTTTCTTAATTGCATAGCCAACTTTCTTATAAGATCACTTATCACTTGACATTAAAAGATTAAATTTAGCTAATGTTTGAAATACGTAGTATTTCCTAGCAATAAACTGTTCACGTAAATCGACATAAGCCTTGCATACTAACAAGAAGTGGTACTCATCTTCGACATTGTTCACAAGATCTTTTATTTCTTGGGACATTTGAATATCTACCCATCTCAGTTTTCAGTTGGTGAGAACTACATCTAAACTTAGCTAAAGCGACACGAAATTTTCGAATAGTTATATGCTTAATATAATGCTCTGGATATAAGTTTAACTTGTACATAGAATAATTATATGTTTTAGAACCTTGTGACAAAGATGTATGCCAAACTTGCTGATAAATACATTTACTATGACTTAGCTCTATCCATAAATTCTGATAAAAATGACTGAATATTATCAATACACTGGTGATCGCAAACAAAGCCAAATCCCATTTTAAATAGCACATTTTTCCTTATCCTGACTATGCTAATTATGCTTGTCTCCGCCATGCGAATGATAGTGGACACTTGAAATCTCTTGAAGTTCCTTCTAAAAGCGGACGTAAACTCACTCACCCACAAGTAGTCTCCCTTTCCTCCCTTTGGCGCCCTTTTGGTCACATGACCAGACATGTTTGTCACTCTCTCCTTCTTCGCCCTTGAGGACGGTTGTGAGAGCACCTGGGTCCCTATACGGCACATATCCTTGTATATTTGCGAAGTTCAACGCCAGTAAATTCCCTCTACATAGGATGGAACCCTTTCAGAAGGCTCCAGACGTTGATGATGACTACAAGATTATCACCGACTCCCGTCAGAGAACTTACAAGATTGAGGATAAGAAGTTAGCGCAGCTGGATACAATCACCAGACATACCTACTTCGGATTAGCCAGATCGAGGGCTATCAATGAAACACTGATCTCGAAGTTCAAGAATTCCTCGGCCGAAGATGACCGGATGATATACTCCGCTCTACTAATGCAGAAAAGGGACCATTAGTTTATGTCGGAGCATTGAGCATCCACATCAGCGGCCTGACTCTCCTGAGAAGACAAGGGTTATTGTCAGGATGCACTTGGAGTGAACGCTTCACCAAGTCCTTATACAGAGCCCCATGTGCAGCATCTTACATCTTTGGAGGAGGAGTTGAAGAAGTCGCCAGAGAAGTCTCTCACGACACAAGGGAGGTTATGATTATTAAATCCATCAACATCTTGGCTAATGTGATTCATAAGACATCCTAACGCTACTCCAACAAATCCAAGTTTGCAGGAGTTCAGAGACCCAGAGAACAGAAGTATTCCAGCATGAAAGGAGGAAGAGGCTCCTTTCTTCGCCCAACCGGAGCTCCTAGAGGTAACCCTGGAAGAGGCCGAGCACCTAGGGGTGCAAGAGGAATCAAGCGCGCTGAAGGCCAGGTTCGGAACGACTGGTGTCTTCCACCCCCAGCTGTTCCTGTACAACCTTCGACAGTGGGTGGACGTCTTCAACAGTACTGGGGAAAATTGGGGAATCTTACAAGACGACTATGAGTCCCAGATACTGCGCAGAGGGTACAAGATACAGTTGGAAGCCACCCTTCCGTTCACAAGCAACCCGATGGCCTTCAACTATGCAGCCGACCAGATAGAGAAACTGGACGACGCTATCAAGAGCCTACTTGACAAAGAGGGAGTAGAAGAGATAGATCAAGATCTCATCACGCCCGGGTTCTACTCCCCAATTTTCCTCGTACCGAAGAAGAATTACAAGGAGAAATTTCAGCTTATCTACAACATGAGGAAGTTCAACCGGGAGTATCTACGCAGACCAGCAGAATTCAAGATGATACATCTTCCTCAGCTCCGACTGCAACGAGACTTCACCATCAGGCTGCTCACCCAACTAGGATGGCTTGTAAATCTCCTCAAGTCGGAACTGGAGCCGAAAAAAGATGTGCAATTTCTAGGAATTCGACTCATCACACCAGTGAATTGCATAGTCGTTCCAGAGGATCGATGGGTCAAGATACAACAGATGATATCTCAAGCAATGCTCTCTCCATTGACACTTCATGCTTGGCAAAGCATGCTAGGTCTACTCACCTCAGCTCAAGACATGACTCACAGAGGGAGGCTACAGTTGCGCCCACTACAAGTATTTGTGAACGCCCACTTAGACAGCCTAGATCCGTTAATACTACCAGACAGCATGAAACCATATCTCCTATGGTGGACTTGGAAGTCGAATGTTTGCGGAGGAACCTTTTTGACAGAGCCGGTTTGCAATACTCATCTTTACGTGGATGCCTCCCTACAAGGATGGGGTGCGCACTTCAACAACGAAGTGGCAGCAGGGAAGTAGTCGAGTCAGGATCAGATGTCACACATCAATCTGTTTGAGATGAAAGCAATAATCAACGCCTTTCAACACTGGTCCAGCGCACTCAAGAACGCACGACTCATGGTACACACGGACAACTCCACAGTGGCGTTTTACATCAACAAACAAGGGTCAACGAGATCAACAATTCTGCTACAACTCAGCTTTCTCCTGTTCAGCATAGTCAACAACCTGAACATCTACAGGAAGGCATGTCACATTCCGAGAGCAAAGAATGTCATAGCAGATGCCCCGACGGAATGGATGCTGCATCCAGAAGCATTCCAGTTCTTCATCATACAGACTATAGGATCCCTTAAAAAAATAGACCTGTTTGCAACAAAGTTCAACAAACAGCTACCAACATTTGTCTCACCGATTCCAGATCCTCAGGCATGGGCAACAGACGCTCTAAGCATCTCATGGGAAGGACTAAACGTTTACACGTTTCCACCTCCTGCACTGCTACCACAAGTACTACAGAAAATCAAGCAGAGGACTACGTTGCAACTGATTTTGGCCATGTCCTATTGGCCAGCGAGGGTATGGTTTCTCCTCCTCATACAAGAACTCTGAAGTCCAACCCTGAAACTACCAGAGTGGTCGAACCTACTCGTCCATCCAAACACCAAGCAAGCTCACGGGAACCCAACACTGTTCCAGTTACACGCGTGGAGCATATTAAAGCTTGCCTGATGACCAGAGGGTACTCCGCCAGAGCAGCGAAAGCAGTTACACTAGCTCTACGCAGATCAACTCGCAACTTGTACGACGACAAGTGGCAGAGATTTGAAAAGTATGCAAAGAGGAAAGGCTTTACAGCAGTGAAAGCAACACATCCTCAAAAGGCGGAATACCTATGTCATCTACAACAGACGAGACACTTAAAAGGTTCAACACTCTCAACTTACTTGGCTGCCCTCAGTACAGTTATTACCATGAAAACGGGTATCAAGCTGACCAAAGTACCTGAGATTCTGGCACTACTATGTTCGTTCAAGGTGGAAGACCAACAAAAAGAAATTTAAGGCTCCTGCCTTGGATTTCAACATATTTCTACAACATCTGACCAGTGATGCCTCTAGGACGGACATCCTTTGAACTACTAACTCAGAGAATGCTGTTCCTGATCGCCCTAGCAACAGCTGCACGGACGTCAGAAATACATGCTCTGGACTTTGAATGAACATGATTTGAATCAAGACATCGTGACATCGTACATCTTGCCTCCAACCCACATGAAGGCAGAGCCCTGACATCAACACTTGCTCTGTATGGAAACTGCTCGATTACAACAATAATGGAGGGCTGCTTTTGGAGATCGAACACGGTGTTTGGCACTGAAGACGTCTCAGGCATTCACCAGTTTGGGTCACTTGTTGTAGCACAACAACTAATGGTTCCACAAAGGCGCTGAGAAAATCTCACCCCTTTTATCACGTGACTTGTGAAAACCAACGCTCTGGAGAGCAATGGCTATAAGTCTACGCACATGTCTAGGACAGACTAGCATGACTGCTAGACCCTGTACTTGTATAGGACATACTTGTACATGAAGAAGGGTCGCATCTCCAGTTGATGTGTGCATCAAGAGATGGAGTTGCAACAGATAACTAATGGAATAGTAGTATATCTAAAATCCACACGAAAATGTCAGGAGAAGTTTCGGAAGAAATCTGACAAGTTGTGGTTCCCCCCAGACTCATCAGAGAGAAGTTGAAAGAACAGAATCTTCAACAGTGCTGTCATAAGTTCCCATGGGGGGTAATACCGGACGTAAATCAACAGCTAGTGAATCCAGAACGTGGCCTGACCCACCACCATTTCGGAAGGATTCTGCAAGCATAATTAGCATGAGTCAGGATAAGGAGAAATATGTAATTTTCAGACTAAAATTGATATTTTATACTTATCCTGACTCATGAGGTTAGCTACCTACCTCCCCTCTTATGGCACTCTGGATTTCCCTGTAAATCCGGGTGTCAGGCATACATACGGAGAGAGTGACAAAACATGTTTGGTCATGTGACCAAAAAGGGCGCCAAAAGGGAGGAAAGGGAGACTACTCATGGGTGAGTGAATTTATGTCCGCTTTTTAAGAAGGGAACTTCAAGGGATTTCAAGTGTTTCACTATCATTCGCAAGACGATGTTAAGCTTAATTAGCATGAGTCAGGATAAGTATAAAATATCAATTTTAGTCAGAAAACTACATATTTCTCAGTTTTGAAGCCCAATTACATTTACCATGCCTCATATCTAATATTACCATGTTATAACATTTCTTGGGCAAGCGTGAGTTTGGCATGGATAGCAGTTTATACCAATATTTTATACAACACTTATAGGCAAAGATATATACCGGGTATCTCCCACACTTGCCACGAACAACATCGTTGAAGTTGACGTTTTCACACCAAGAAAATATTTACATGCTTGAACATGAACTCCTTCAATAACACTGCTCATCTTACATTCAAAATCAAAGTCTAGTCCCCATATTTCAGAACCATTCAAGAAAATTGACATCTCTTCACTATCAAAAACCTTAAAGAAAACATTATATGGTAATGGTCTAAGCTTTGACAAATAATGCTTTTCCAGATTGCAATAATGAACTAATAAACTGCTTATTCCAAGTTAGATTCCTAGAAAATACCACACCTAAATATCTATAAGATGAGACACATTCGATAACATTGCCATCAAAATACCATTTTTCGCCCCTCGAAAGAACTCTGCCGTTTTCAAAGATAACCACTTTAGGTTTATCTAAATTTACAGTTAAATTATACTGGTGACAATACACGCAAGACATCAGAGATAACCTAGGTACAAGTCACCAGAATTCGGACAACATTATCTGAGATGTCTGAAGGTGTGAGTTACAGTGTGTGAGTTACAGTTGTGTGAGTTAGTTGTGTGAGTTACAGTGTGTGTTACAGTTGTGTGAGTTACAGTGTGTGTTACAGTGTGTGTTACAGTTGTGTGAGTTAGTTGTGTGAGTTACAGTTGTGTGAGTTACAGTGTGTGTTACAGTTGTGTGAGTTAGTTGTGTGAGTTACAGTGTGTTACAGTTGTGTGAGTTACAGTGTGTGTTACAGTTGTGTGAGTTAGTTGTGTGAGTTACAGTTGTGTGAGTTACAGAGTGTGTTACAGTTGTGTGAGTTACAGTGTGTGTTACAGTTGTGTGAGTTACAGTGTGTTACAGTTGTGTGAGTTAGTTGTGTGAGTTACAGTTGTGTGTGTTACAGTTGTGTGAGTTACAGTGTGTGTTACAGTTGTGTGAGTTACAGTGTGTGTTACAGTTGTGTGAGTTACAGTGTGTTACAGTTGTGTGAGTTAGTTGTGTGAGTACAGTGTGTGTTACAGTTGTGTGAGTTACAGTGTGTGTTACAGTGTGTGTTACAGTTGTGTGAGTTAGTTGTGTGAGTTACAGTTGTGTGAGTTACAGTTGTGTGAGTTACAGTGTGTTTTACAGTTGTGTGAGTTAGTTGTGTGAGTTACAGTGTGTGTTACAGTTGTGTGAGTTACAGTGTGTGTTACAGTTGTGTGAGTTACAGTTGTGTGAGTTAGTTGTGTGAGTTACAGTTGTGTGAGTTACAGTGTGTGTTACAGTTGTGTGAGTTACAGTTGTGTGAGTTACAGTGTGTGTTACAGTTGTGTGAGTTAGTTGTGTGAGTTACAGTGTGTGTTACAGTTGTGTGAGTTACAGTGTGTGTTACAGTTGTGTGAGTTACAGTGTGTGTTACAGTTGTGTGAGTTACACTGTGTGTTACAGTTGTGTGAGTTACAGTGTGTGTGTTACAGTTGTGTGAGTTAGTTGTGTGAGTTACAGTTGTGTGAGTTAGTTGTGTGAGTTACAGTGTGTGTTACAGTTGTGTGAGTTACAGTGTGTGTTACAGTTCTGTGAGTTAGTTGTGTGAGCTACAGTTGTGTGAGTTACAGTTGTGTGAGTTACAGTTGTGTGAGTTACAGTGTGTGTTACAGTTGTGTGAGTTAGTTGTGTGAGTTACAGTGTGTGTTACAGTTGTGTGAGTTACAGTGTGTGTTACAGGTTGTGTGAGTTAGTTGTGTGAGTTACAGTGTGTGTTACAGTTGTGTGAGTTACAGTGTGTGTTACAGTTGTGTGAGTTACAGTGTGTTACAGTTGTGTGAGTTAGTTGTGTGAGTTACAGTGTGTGTTACAGTTGTGTGAGTTACAGTTGTGTGAGTTACAGTGTGTGTTACAGTTGTGTGAGTTACAGTGTGTGAGTTAGTTGTGTGAATTACAGTGTGTGTTACAGTTGTGTGAGTTACAGTGTGTGTTACAGTTGTGTGAGTTAGTTGTGTGAGTTACAGTGTGTGTTACAGTTGTGTGAGTTACAGTTGTGTGAGTTACAGTGTGTGTTACAGTTGTGTGAGTTAGTTGTTTGAGTTACAGTGTGAGTTACAGTTGTGGGAGTTACAGTGTGTGTTACAGTTGTGTGAGTTAGTTGTGTGAGTTACAGTGTGTGTTACAGTTGTGTGAGCTACAGTTGTGTGAGTTACAGTTGCTCCCTTGCTGCAGGTGTTGTGGCTGCAGTTCCAGAACAGCCGTCCCACCGGCGTCACCTTCAGTGGAGATCGCTACATCCCCGTCGACGATCTCAGGAAGGACAACATGTCCGTTGTCAACGTCCAGTACACAGAGCTGACCGACAGCCAGATAGAGTGAGTGACGTTCATTACGATTATCTGTGGACAAAATACAGTTACATTTTGATATCACATGCGGAGTGAGTGAGTGAGTGTGTATGGGTTTATACCGCCCTTTAGCAATATTCCAGCAATATCACGGTGGGGGACACCAGTAGTGGGCTTCAAACATTGTACCATCGAACTGGTCTTTGGTGTGAAGAGTAAAATATATACCGTAACAAATGGGTTATCCCACCGCCCCCACTCTTGGAATGAAGACTTCGACTGAACCAGTTTGTTTAGTTGTGTAGCGACGGTTAGACAGTATGACAATGGACCAGCTAGGCCCTCCTCAATCAGTATCACAATATCAGAATTGTAGAATATGTTTTATTGATTCCTTTAGAAAAATATACAAATGTCATCGTAAATAACATCAAGTCTGATGAAGATCTGGGGTAGAGTAGGTCTTCAGCAACCCATGCTTGCCACAATAGGTGACTATGCTTGTTGTAAGAGGCGACTAACGGGATCGGGTGATCAGGCTCGCTGACTTGGTTGACACGTCATCGGTTCCCAATTGCGCAGATCGATGCTAATGCTGTTGATGACTGGATTGTCTGGTCCAGTAGTAGAGGGAATGATAGTCCGAGATCAAGTCCAACAAAAGCCTCTGCAAAGCCTTAATTCCCAAATAAGGCTTTGGTCGGACCCTTAGCTCTTGCTGCCATTACCCCTACTAGTAAAATGTCCCCGGCAGCCACAATTCCCCAAGGGAGAAATAGAAATGTATTGCGCTTCCTCCCAAGGGGAATTGTGTCTCTCACCGTGAGAGAACCTCACATCACACATTCGTGACGGCGGGATACGAACCCACATGTACAGCTTGCGCAGACTATACATAATGGGGTCGCACCACTCAACCGACTGAGCTACCGCGGACTTAGCTGAAGTAGGTCAATTTAACGGGTGCACCCACACATCACGTGCCACTGACAGGATCAATAGTCCTCTGTCTGGCCCATCAAGTAGTACAAGGTAGGTTCGTCTGATTTTATTTTCATTTTATCTATGTCCACGTGCCGCTATGTCACGTTGACCTCAATGAAACAGTTTAATGTGAATCGCCTATGATCTCTTTGGTGTTCGTAATAAAGGCTTGCCGGGCTTTTTGTATCCCCTGTTCTATGTACTTTTTTTTCTCGTCCTCGCTTATAGTAGACTTACGAGACTTGGATCGAATCTCTTGTTTCATTTTGTCATATTTTGTGAGTTCAGAGAGGATCAAACGAAACTCCTCCTCTGAGATTTTGTTGTCAGTGAGTGCCGCTGAAATACGGTCGCTTACCGTGTTCAGCTTTGCTTCAGCTAGAATTCTAATTTCATCGTGTTTCAACGCCTTTACGATGCAGTCTGCGTGATGCAAACTTAAGCACCAACCCTAACACCCTGTCACCCCAGCTGTTATTTCAAGGCCTAGCACTATAGGTAAGCGCCACGATGGTAGCTAATAACCCAACACCTGCAGCCCCTAGTCCCATGCTGGTTGCCATAAGGGTAGTATCAGTCCCGTCCACGGCATTGAAAGCTCTATGGTACTTCTTATATAGTGCTTTCCGCTTGTCGCGGTCTTGTTCTAATTGACGTTTTACATCACATAACTGTCTCAAGCGGAACCCGTCTACGGTTTCCAGGGTCTTCGCTACTTCATCTATGCCTGGGTACAGCCCCATCCTATAATATATATTACAAAAGATATTTTAATTGGGTTTCAGTTAACAGTCGATCAACTAACTTGAAACTTATAAGGTATAAATCACTGTTTGGGAAAATAGTTCGAAGTGAATAGGTAACTCTGCATCCACACGAACCCCATAGAAGGGGGTTTATTGAGTAGGTTATAGAACCTGTTGAGGGGGTCCGTTAGTATGATGATACGGTAACGTCGGTTATTGTTCTGGGTACTCAGTGTACTGTCACCCGTGTAAAAGTTGTTGTTCTTTACTAACAGAAAGTACACGGATATGGAATTCTATGATGAGTGTGGAACCTGGGGTCATACCGGAATATGCAATACTACGAGCCGAATGAGGTATACTCTAACTCACCCCCTTGGTATGCATTTAACATACCGGACTGAGTTAGCCCAACACTTGTATGACGGCCCGGAACGAAACACGAGGGTATGATACCTCTATTTTTAATTTCAGAGATATAATTACTTTCCTTAAATGAGATATAAGGTGAGGGGAAGGTTAAGTTGATTATCCATTTGGGTTCTTTAAAATCTGATAACGACACCCGCCTATACACGTTGTCTTTGAAGTGCAGGATGTATAAGGTGTCTTCCTCACCAGGCTGATCGAATCCCTCCGTGTCCCCTAGATCGTTAAGCGTAGCGTTGGGGTGAAGCCAAGACATTGCTATAATACTATTACGATATAATTTCCAACTGGTTTTCTGATAATGGTTCAGGGGTGCACTTCACCCCCATGAAGTGTATGTTGTCGGGTAGGAATATCTTGGTTAGTGATATAGTGTCTTCCACGACCACGGTGACACCCTGCAGACTGGTTTTGGAGTCGACACCCACCCGCACGTAAACGTTGCAAACGTGATACTGTTGTTGTTTCCCCCACCGTAGTTTGACCCCCTTCACGATTTCAACATCATCCTGCGAAGGTTCCCCTAGGTAGACTTGGATGACCAGTGTTGAGTTCGCCGGTAGACTCTCCAGGATGGTGACCACGCCTTCGAATTCAGACACCAACTGCAATACCACGTTTTGCATGCCCGCTTTACTCGATAGCATGAGGGCTGCCATACTGGCGAGTGGGCTGATGACTACGCTACGTCTCTGAGTCGGAACGTAGGCCACGAGCAGGGTTCCGTTGTTCACGACTTTGTTTAGGTGGTTGTCTTTGTTATCCGTGAACACGTAAGGGGAGCCGAGCCTAATATTGAGAAACCAGTCGACTTTATCGGGTAATAACACCCACTTATCATCATCGGTGAAGACGAGCGTATATGGCTTGTTTCGGGCGACGGTAGTGCTCTCAACATCTTCTAAGTCGAACAGTTTGCCTCCGAACGATGGGTATATCATCCATTTATCATCACCGGTGCGGACTAGGGTGTACCATGTGTTGACAACCGCTCTTGAAGTATCTACTATTTCACTTAGGTTGCTAGTACCACCATTGGAGGGGACTTCAACGCGTTTGTAAATGCTGTTTTTAAGTTGCAAGGCGTACAATTTACCATCTACTCCGGGGTCGTCGAATCCGCGTGTGTCCCCGAGGTCGGAGATCCCCACATTGATGCATTTTTTCAACTTCATTCCGGGACCTTGTGCGCTGGTCATTTTATGTGCAGGGTTATGCTGAGGTATCCTATATTCACGAGATTATGATTTATATCTAACACCGATATTATCAGCTCAGGGATGTTGCCCTGGGTTAACCTCTTATACTGCCGAGGTGAAAACGACTCGGTTCTACCGTCGTTGTATTTCTCCGTTTTCACCGGTACGGCTCTCAGTATAGTGGAAGGGTGACCCCCTTGAATGTTGTCCGTTGTGCTAACCTGGCTGAGATGAATGCACAGCTCACGATACGGTACTAGGTCGGGTAACTTAGTGCCTGTGGCGGTAGTCTCGTCAGGCTGCATACCGAGTGTCCTCGCCAATGGTCGGCCGAGCCTCAAGGAGTTTCTTCCGTTGTTAAATAACACCACTGTACCGTTTGAGTCGTTCATCTTGAGTTCGGCTCCCAATGGTTTGAAGACCTCGTCGTTTAGAGAGCACACACTGTAGTAACCGTCAGTTATCTGATTGCAGACGCCATCTATGAACAGTTTATTGTTGCTAGCGTTGATGTTAGCCCATCGCGGTAGGTAGGTGATATCACACAGTGCGACTTAGAGTTGACCCGACGTGTTATCGATCGCATGCGTCAGCTGAACGGCCTCACCGCTCGTTATTCCTGGAAGTGTTATGTACATGTTAGAGTATATATGCTCATTATATAATAGTTTTAAAATGTACAAGCCGGGAGTGTTTTATCCTAAACAGGACGTAGATTTCCCCCACATGAAGATCGTGGTTGCTCATGGGTTGTATTTCAACACCCAGTTCATAGATGTGTTCCACAAGTATAAATTTCGGTGACTAACGCTAAGGTAGTTCACGCTTGGCTCAACAGACCGATGCAGTTCTGGCAGAATCAACTCAACTTCGCCGCGGTGGTGCGCTACAACGGGTGTGGTGTGACATTAACCGACACCGGCGTGGACCGCTGAGTCAGTCTGTGTTCACGTTTCACGGTACTACCAGGTCAGGCGTATCCTCAAAGAGATCAGCGCCGCGCCCACAGGAAAAGGCGTGGAATGCAGTAAACAACCAGTACGATAGACGGGCCTACGAACGTATTTGCAACAAATTCGAACTAAACACGAAGACGGATTGGCGTTTGCCGGGACCGAACCACGGGTTGGGTATCCCCATCGTTCACAACATGCCCCTCGTGGAAGCCAGCGAGAAGTTGAAAGAATGGGATTACAAGTCGTATCATCACCTCACAACGAACTAGTGGGATGACCGTTACATGGCATTCGACGACAGCAAGGATTACCGAGTCTGGAGGTTCGAGCAGGGGGCAGCGGATGACTGGAAAAAGTTCATGCTGGACACATCGAAAGGGTTTACTCGTGCCGGGGTAATCAGATTAAACGACTCGATTCGAACGTACGTGTGGGCGCTGTTGAGTGCGCAGACGCAAACGCGTTCCAATATCCTAGGCAAGGGGACTGCTTACGACGCTCAGAAACAGTTCGTTGTCAACGTTGAGGATGCTATCAATGCTCCAGTTGATCTCCCGAGTGCCATCAAACGCTACCAAGACATGTGGGAATACGCCAGGTCGAAAGTCGACTACGTGTTCGACGTGGGACTGTACATGGCTCCGAGCGATATGCAACTGAGAGTAAAAAAAGTGGTGGGCTACAACAACGAAATAGTCATAGCCACGGCGGGT